AAAAAAAACCAAACATCGATGAGAGAGAAACATTGATCAGCTAGCTGCCTCCTGCACACTCCCCACTGGGTATGTGCCCGCAACCAAGGTACATGCCCTTGACTGGAATCAAACCTGGGACCATGAGTCCGCAGGCCAACGCTCTATTCACTGAGCCAAACCGGCTAGCGCAACTTTGCTATTCTTAAGTGTATCTTATAAATAGGAGTGTATGAAACATATGCACAGCATAAAGTCTGATAAAACTAATACCCACAAATCTCTTCCCCAAGTTAAGAAATAGAAAACTACGAAGTCTCCATATGTCCTACTGACACAGCTTCTTCTTTGCTTCCTCCCACCCTCCCAACTATCCCAGGTTTTGTGTTAATCACTCCCCACATTTCTTATAGTTCTTACCAGCTTTGTATGATTTCTAAGCAACATATTGTTTAGTTTTGTGTTTTTAAACTATGACCTGCTCTTTTACTCAAAAAATATTTTGAGACACTTGGTCCCTGTAGGTGCACATGTCTAACACACCAGAACTGAGGTACCCACTCCACTCCGGTGGGCCTTTCTGGGGTGCTTCGGTTCTGCTCACTTGAACACTTCTGTACTTATCTACTGCTGTGCCACGAGTTCTTCTAAGGTACAGTCTAAGAAGTGGAATAACAGGGTTCTACTAGGCTCAACTTTGCTTGGTGATGCTGAATTATTTTGAAAATGTTTCCAGCAGTGCATGAAAGTTCTCACTGCTCCACATTCTCACCAACACTCAATATGATTAGATTTAAAATTTTGCTAATGTGGCAGTAATTTTGAATTTTCCTGGTTAAAAATGAGGTTAAGCAACTTTTCATATATAGTACTTATTAACCATATCGGTTTTCTCTGAAAGTACATATGTAATTTTTAATATTGTCTTTCTTATGGAGTTGGAAGATATACAAACACACAGAATATGTGTATTCTGAATACGAATTCTTTATTAGTTACATGCATTACTAAAATCTTTTCCTAGTTTGTGTTTGTTCACTTTTTTGTCTTTTGATGAAAGGTTCTTAATCTTAATGTGGCTGAATTTATCAAATAATTTCCTTCCTATCTTTGAAAGAACCTGTTCCCTATGCAAGATATCCTCCTACATTTTCTTTTAAAAGCTTTTTCTTGAAAAAAATTTTTATTGCCTAAAGTTTTACATATGTCTCCTTTGCCCCCCGCCCCCCATTCCCACACAGGGTCTTCTAAAAGCTTTGGCTTTGACTTACAGGGGCCAGGGCTACCCAAGGCTTTTATCTGTGCAACATTGTTCCTATCTAGCAGTTTCCTCCCATGCTTAGTTCAACTTTCAGTTCAACTTTCCATTCCACAGTGGAATCTGAAACAGTGTAGGTCTTTTTGTTTTTAATCCTCACTAGAGGATATGCTTAGAGAGAAGGGAAAAAGAAACATCAATTGGTTGCCTTCTGTGTGTGCCCTGACCGGGGATCTAACCCGAAACCCAGGCCTGTGCCCTAACCAGGAATTAAACCAGCTGAGCCACTCTGGTCGGCGCATCGAAGTATTTAATCAACCTTGAAGTGACTTTTGTGTGTGATGCAAAGAGCCCATATAAAATCTAAACTAGCACATCATGTCTGTCTCTGTCTCTGTCTCTGTCTCTCTCTCTCACACACACACACACCCTCTCTTGGGATTTGGATATACTAACAAAGATTCTGTTGGTAAATCTCTCCTTATTGTTAAAAGGTTTTCTTCATGCCGATCAGACTCAAAGTTACAAAACAGTACAACTTGTCCACCCACAAGGAAGGACACAAGGGGCTGATATTACTTTATCTTCTCACTTAAAACCATGAAAAATCTGAGACCTCAGACTCTGAAGCAACCGATTTGTGGTATTCCTACTCAATTTAAGTTCTACTCTGTGTAGGAAAGTATATGAGAGTAAGGTATTTAGATAATCCAATGCTACGCAAATCAATAAAAGAAAATAAGACTCTAATAAATAGACATATATTTAAAAAGAAATATGGCCCTAACCGGTTTGGCTCAGTGGATTGAGTGTCGGCCTGCGGACTCAAGGGTCCCAGGTTCGATTCCGGTCGAGGGCACGTATCTTAGTTGCGGGCACATTCCCAGTAGGGGGTGTGCGGGAGGCAGCTGATTGATGTTTCTCTCTCATTGATGTTTCTAACTCTCTATCCCTCTCCCTTCCTCTCTGTAAAAAAATCAATAAAATATATTAAATAAATAAATAAAAATAAACATGAAGAAAATAGGAAGAAACTTTACTTGCAATGAAAGAAAAGTAACTTATAGTAAAAAACCACTTTATCTGCATATTAAAGGTGTTAAAACTAATAATACTTGATTGTACAAGGGCACTAAGATGAATATTCATTTATTCATTCAATTAGCAATAACCACGCCTCGGATAAACCTCATTGGCTATGATACTGCCACTGTGCAAAGTTGAGATGAATATTCATTCAGGGCTGGGGAAACCAGATTGGTACCAGTTAACAAGAGTCTTAAAGTATCCATAACCTTTGATTCAGTATTACAGGAATCTTGACTAAGGAAAAACATCAGTGTACACAAAACTACACAAAAATCCAATGCCATGTTACGACAAAATATTGGATAAAAATATATCCCAAAAGTTGACCACTAAACCACAACAGACCGTTACTCATTTACTTAATGATGCTTATGAAATTTTTAGTAACATTTGAAAAATGCTACGACTGTTAATTTTTCTTAAAGCAGAGAATAAAATTCTATCTGCCGTATGACTACCCTTTACAAGAAAAACAAACAAATGGAAACAGATCAAAAAGAGGCATGTCCAAGTGCTATTAATGGCTGATTCTCACTTAAAAGGATTTAAGGTATTTTTTCTTTGCTCATTTCTATACTTTTGAACTTCTCTACCAGCATAAAATCACTAAGGTCAAAAATAATGAAAGAGACAAGTGAAACACAATGTTGGAACTAGAAAGCAGATGACAGAAAGGAAAACTGAGAAGCAACCCAATTAACACCCCAGACCTCCCCAGAGGCTGATGAACTGGTGGAAACAAGTACCTCTGAAAACAGGGGTAAAGGCAGGTCCAAAGCAGAGAGACTCGCTGAAGGTCTATGCAGGCACAGTTAGATCTTGGGGTTCCTCTCCTTCACTCTGCTCAGCCAGGTGGCTAAGTACCTCCCTCTACCTCAACAGCAGGCTGGAGGGTTTTTTTTTCTCACAAGGGTGAAACAGAGGCTCTCATAATAGATGGGCATGGAGGAAGACAGGGACACAACACAAGCACCTAATGAAAACCAAGGGGATTAAGTGAAAGCTTACTGAGACTCAACTTCTAGATCACCCACAACCGCCATGGCTGCAGAGGGCACAGCCCTCTTAGCATAATTAGGCTTGACCTTATGACCTCCCTAGACCTTATCTGGGTAGCTAATGGGCTGAGGGAGATGCAGCAAGTGCTGCCAAAACAAGTGAAACTCACAAGAACACTGTAACTATGGTGACCGCTACCTTGTTTACCGCTACCTTGTTTACCTCTGGCTATAAAATCAAGGCTCGGCTTGCTGTCTCCATCTCTCTCTGTGGCCTCAGCCAGGCACAGGAAGATCCACCTAGACCAGGGGTGGGCAAACTTT